TATGTCAACACCATGACTCCTAATCCACATTCTGTTCTACTACCTCAGTTTGCCTGTCACTGTTCTATCCTTACCTCACCTTTCAACTGCAGCCCAAGAATATTTAAGGCGAAACTACCTGCAGAATGTTTCTGCTACCGTGACTGAATGTCGGTCCTTTAAGTTGGTATTTGAGGAAAGGAGGATCAATTTTCCCTATGATTTTTGTGGACTAAGGTGTAAGTTTCCATTAGACATCACTTTCTTTTTCTATTAACTGGGGTAAGTTATTCAGTATTATCTTTTACTAACTATTAAGTAAAGTAAATACATGAATGAATGGTAAAAGACAGATCCTAGAAGGCCTTTTGGAAAACAACTAGCCAAAAAGCTAAGTACTTGCAAAGCATATTTTGACTGCAACTTCTTTTAAACGGGTTTCCTTTCCAGTTTGTATATGTGAAAAGTGACCTCTTGTCCATTTGCATACCTAGCCAGAGGTCCTGTGATAGAGGCTTGCGTCAAGCTGTCAATAATGATAAGAGACACAATAAGAACAGCTCAAGTGTTGATAGCGTGCTTCCTGGCTTAATTCAACAGTCCCCAGTCCCCTCTGTTCTTTCAATGGCTTGCCTTCAATACAAAATTACCTACCCAGTCATTTTAATGTACCTAGACTTCAAACTGCAGTTTGCAGCACACATATTTAAGAGGGATTTCAACTCATATTAAAAAAAAATCCACAGAAGAAATGCCTTACAAAGGCCATTTCTGGGGTATGTGAAGTAGTAACAAAAATGTTCAACTTACTGAAAAGTACTCTCAATTCTAGATTTGAAAACGTGTTGAGAAAATGGTTAAAACTTTCTCTATATAAAGTAGCCCAGGGATTTGTATTAAAAAATTATGGCATTATACAGTCATGCAAGAGATTAACATGCTGAAGCTCAGGCACCAGTAACACTCATGCAATTGTGGTAAGTGATGCAACACCAGAAGTGATCAGGCTACTCATGTCTTCATAACAGGTGGCGCAGAGTTAAGATCATGGTTATATACGTGATGGTTTCTATCTTCTAAGCTCAGTTTACTTGATGTCACTGTTATCTAACTTAATCACTTTCCATTAATTGCAGTGAAAACCTGAAACCTATATAAAAAGTTATTGCATACTCAGAAAGCTATTTTGAGTAGTAATTGTTTAACAAAAAAGTTCTTTGCCACAAACTATTATTTCCAGCTAGTCAGAATGCTTCTCAGTGTTTATGTTACTATATAATAGTAAGGATTTATGCTTTTATTTTGAGCCTATACTATAATGTAATGGAAATAACACAATTAATCAGGTCCACTTATATTACCAAATATTCTACGATAGCAAAGAAAGAAGGAAAAGCCACTATGAAGTTGAGCAAAGGAAAAGAGGCTAAATAGAATATATTGTTCTCATTGTCTATTTATATTGAAATTGTTAGAAAAGATTCTATACTGATTTCCGTGTGTTCTGAGCAGCATCTAAAACTGAGAGCTAATCTGCATTTTCTCAAGGAGCCAATTCTTGGAAATGTGGTTCCTCCTTTGTTCATTATGATGCATTCTCACAGTGTGTTCACAAATGTGGAAAGAGAAAGAAAACTGCATTTTACTCAACTTTGTTGACATTAAGTTAGAGTGAAGTTCCTCCATGTTTCTGAAAAAAGTTCCAAGTCATGAAAAGACTCAAGAAGTACCACAAGCCACCACCCCATCAACCAATAGGAAAGTTCAACAAGCTCTGATTGAAGTTCTGATTTTCAAATTCCCCCATGCCCAAAGTGAATGAATGAACTTAGCTATAATTGTAAAGGCAGTCTTAATTCCAGACAATTAATAGAACTCAAGATTGTGTTAACACATAAAGAAAAAAAATTAAAATCAATCAAGTGTGGATTAGCTGGTATGCACCAAATTTATCATAACTAATTAAAGGAGATTGTTTTTCACAGAAAATTATCAGTAGTTGGCCATCTTTTAAAATATTCTCCATTATTATAAATTATTATAAATATTCTCCATTATTTAATTTTAGAAATGAAATTAAATTTAAATTTAGAAATTAGAACATATTGTGAAACTCTAGTGTCACAAAAGACCAAGTTTCAAAGGCCACACTAACACTAATTAACAATAACAAAAATGACATTATAACAAGGATCACAATGTTGCATAGTTAGTAACAACTGTATGTGTACCAACTTGATGGGTATAATAGCAAATACTTCCAGTACCAGTATTTGCCAATATGAGTGAAATACCCTAATAGGAGGTATTCAAGATTCATTTTAATATTTTCTACATCACTTTAAGAAAACTAGTATCTTGAGGAGTTAGAAATAACCAAATTGAAAGTTTGCAGGTGTGTTATTCTGTGGAAAGGCTATCCAGAACAAATTAAAAATTATTCAACAATTTTAAAGTCTAATTGTTAACTATAATTTACATATGTTATATTAAAAGGTCATTCAAGGTAAAAAAAAATAGCCATTAACAATGCACAAATACTTTTCATAACCTAAACAGGTAACTCTTTAAAAAGCAGTTGCCAACAAAATTAAGAATGTACCTAGTGACAATATTTATACTTAAGGGGTCATACGGTACAAAGGCAACAGAGAATGTTTAAAAGACCTCTCTGAGACTAAAGCCATTGCCTTTCTAATTTTTAATTTCTCCAAGCTAATATAAAATGATTGATTGCCTTTACTTCATGTACCACTCAATTTCCCTTTTCATTCATCACTGAGTGCTTTAAACCAAATGCATTTAGAACCTGCTGCTGGAAGAGTAGTGGTTGGTGGTGTCTTTTAAATCTTTGTAAAGTAATGAAAGGAATGACAGTAAGTGAACGTCACTTTCTGCTGTAGGAAAGGATCACCTTTATTGCGCTAAAGTCATTGCAACTAGTTGTTTCAATTTCTCTGAGTAGTAAAAATAAAATCCATCTCTATGATACTTTTACAATTTGAGGGAGGAAAAGTAACAGGCTTTTCATTAGAGCCTTCCTTTATTACATAAGTATGTGTAGTGATAAGAACAAACATTATTTTGCATGTCTCAAACCTGTCAATCATTATTAAGTTAGTCTATTGGGCTGCTTGAATTCAAACAATATTGTTGATTTCATTAGATAGAGGGTATATTACATGTTTGCATGATATTTAAGGCTGAGCATTACTTTGTTAACTATGCAGCTTACAGTTTTCCTCTGCCAAGGATCAGTACATATCATATGTGCCAATCCATATGATTGAACGTATTATATCTACAATGCAAGTGGTCTTCACTTGGTATTACCCACTTCAAAGGACGGTCTGATGAAAAACAATTCTGTAATTCAAACCTTTTTTCAGATAAAGTTTGTTCAAACTCCAGCTTCACTGAGATTCATATTTGTACAATGTTAACTTAGTTTTCCTAATTCATTTTTAGAAATGGGTAAGGGAAAAGCTTTTTTGTTTTTATGAACTGTTGTTTCCGTGATTATAATAAAAGGCTCCAGAGAAGCCCTGTATTAGGATAGTGAGAAGACAGCTCACAGTACATGGGATTGATCAGTGTATTATAAATATGTTTGAGGCTAAAGGTTTAAATACCAGAGGCATGTTTGCAGGAATTAAAAATTAATTAGAAATTAGAGGAACGACCTTAAGAACAATGCAAATCCCATGACAAAAATATTTCTGAAAAAAGAAAAAAA